TTCACCTGTGTGATGGTTTCACCTGTGTGATGGTTTCCCCTGTGTGATGGTTTCCCCTGTGTGATGGTTTCCCCTGTGTGATGGTTTCCCCTATGTGATGTTTACTTCCATAATTTGAGGGCTTGGTAAGTCTGTTTTTCTATTTCATATTCAAAAGCTTTTGCTCCAAGTGGTTTAGATTCGCGTATATGTCTATTAGAGACTTCGTTGAGATCTTTTTCAAGTATAGCAAGTATATCCGTTTGCATTAATTTGAGTTGTAGTTTGGTGAATTGTTCGGCGACAGATGGGAGTTCAGGGAATGGGCTTTCATGATTACCATCAGTAGATGAGGTGTTGGCTGCTTCGATTAGGAAGATAAGTAGGTCGGCCATGTCCCCTCCGGTCATGGGTAGTTTATCTTGTGAGCCTAGAGTACCTTGGTGTCCATTGAAGCCGCCGCCCTTAAACTTGGGTTCACGGACTGCTCGTTTCATAAGACGGTTTCGAAAGTTAGCGATGCCAATACGATACTGAGCATCCAATTGATCGGAGGGTATAGTATCTAGTTTTTGTAACAAATCATTACTACTAGCGGGTACGGGTAATGTGACACAGTCTATCCTTTTAAAGAAATTTCCCACACGCTCCTCCGGCACTTCAGATGGAGTTCCGGTAGCAACTCCACCACGTGTCAATAGCTCTTCTAACCATGCTTCAGGCTCCAAATTCTCCAGGTCTTGGACGAAATCTTGGACCACCCAGGATAATTGAGAGGGTACTAGCACACGTAAAAACTCACTCAAGTTCGCAACTGCCGAAACCTTTTGACGCGCATATGCACGCAATCCAAACAGATTCGTACGACGAATAAGTGTCTCTAATGCCTCCATGTGGTGGGTATCAATGAACTTAACTGTATTGTAAATAACCTCCGAACTGAGCAATGTAGATATAGCAAACAACTTTGCATCATAAGAACTCGAAGCATCCTTGCTAAACAAGCCCTCTGTATCCAGAAACAACAACGTCGTTCCCGCACCAGGTGTCCTGGACATATCCGAAACAGAGGTGGAACCTGGAGAAGCTCCGGAGGACGAGGCCGCTACGTTTCCGGCGCCGTCCAACAGTCTCGGGTACGGCATCAGCCATATACCAGACGTCTCCGGACGCACCGTGTAACCCACAGAGAAACCCTGGCCCACATCACTCAACTGGTTCAACAAGAACGACTTTCCCGTGTGGATAGCACCCACTGCCGACACCACCGCAATCGGCGCAACCAATGATCGTAAGTAATTCAACCCCTCCTCCGTCGCCTCCAGGTCCGCATGCCCTGCCTTCGGACGCACCAACTGAATCGGTCCTCCCCCTGAACCATCAGCCCCTGAACCATCAGCCCCTGAACCATCAGTCAACGACGCCGCCGCCAGGCAGGCTCCTACCAAGATTATTGAACCACGCATTCGGGAAAATGTTAAACCACCTTCTCCTCGTGGCCACGCTCCCTGCGATCGTTACACTCTTCAATGGTGACCCTTCGTACGCTTACTGAAACCCAGACGCACCCTCTAACACCGCACCCTCTAACACTGGACCCTCTAACACTGGACCCTCTAACACTGGACCCTCTAACACCGGACCCTCTAACACCGGACCCTACCTCGCCCATTGACACCGGACGGCTCAGTCGACTGTTCTCGGCTCATGTTTTGCACATGGTCTGATCTTGATAGCGGTTTGCTGTTCTTGCTATTTGCTTATGGAATGACCCGCATGCACTCCGTGGCTAACATCATTTCGGCTCTCTACTTTGCGCTTGGCTTCGGCGCCTACGGATGCGTTCGCAGTTATCCCAGCCCGCTCTTCCTCTGCGCGTACCTCTGGCTAATTGTCATGTATAGCATCATTGGCTACAAGGTTATGATCATTCTAAACGTAACCTCCCCCCCACCACCTTCCCCCCCCCCACCACCTCCCCCTCGCCAGCTTCCTTCCACCAACTTCCTCCCACCAACTTCCTCCCTACACTCATTTCAGGAGGAACTCGGAGTCCCCCCCTCAAACACATCTACTGGCTGGCCGAGCTACTCGCCACTAAATCAGAACAAGCCACCCGCCTTGTTTTCTGGACCAGGATACACTCTTGAGGACGTGTAATCAGGCTAATGGTTTGATAAAGGACAAGTCAAGGACAAGGACAAGGACAAGTCAAGGACAAGGACAAGTCAAGTCAAGTCAAGGACAAAGTTAATAACAAAGTTAAGGATCAAACTATGTACGGAATGGCACATTGTCGTGTCGTATTACCCGGTCGGTGTTCAGGTAGAATAGCTAGATCCGACCACCCATTATTGTTAGTAGTTAGATATTTAGCGGTCACTGGTACCCACTGGTATGACCACCCACTGGTTATATGGTCGGGGTGGGTTATATGGTCGAGTGATGGTCGGGGGTGTTATATGGTCGGGGGTGTTGTATGGTCGAGTGGGTTGTATGGTCGGGTGGGTTGTGTTGCCGGTGGTGCGTTGTTTGTATGAATGTTGAGAGGGCGAAGGGGAATTTGATAGGACGTATTGTGCAGGATCGGATTGATGGTTTGATTAAGCGGAAGTTTTACCGGAAGCAGATTCGGCAGCCGAAGTTGGGGATGGATCTGAGAACGTGTTTGGATGTGACTGAACCAGCTACGGTCTTGCATGTGGTGGATTTCACGTCCGTGTTTGTATTAAGTGATTATTCTCGAGATGACCTGCCATTTGCTGCCATTGTGGAGTTGGTAACGGGATTCCCTTTGCCCCGATTTGATGGAGAAACAAAGATTCGTGGAGTGCTGGGGAACAACGAGTGCTTGATTGATCTGCATTTTTCAGATAACTGTTTATACGGAACCATCCCCTGGACCGTCGCCAACAACCCGGATCAACGGATCTTACGTCTCAGCCTAAGTTTGGTGATGATGAATGACAAAGAAGTCATACCCATCTACATCCAGAAGTCATCCAAAACAAGTGGAATCGCATTGCTCGGTGCCGACCAACTGGGCGCTGACCAACTGGCTGACCAGCGACAAGTTAGTGACGGTCGACAAGTTAGTGACGGTCGACAAGTTGGTCGACAAGTTGGTGACGGGTGTTTCGATGACGAAGACGTTTTGCACGCAGTCCCGTGTTATTTTATTCAGCCAGAGGGAGGCGGCCGGATGCCAAGTCTGAGGGGACCATTGGCGGGAGCGGTGGAGGAGAACCTAGAGGAGGACATCGAGGTGTCTTCGACGTTGACTCCGTTTTGCACCCCTTTGGAAATCGAGGCGTTAGCTGGCTGGACACTGTTGCGCATGATGCAGCTGCAGGAAGCACCTAATAAAGAGTGTGTGGATACCCAAACCCGATTCAACTGCCGGTTCGACTGTTTCCTCAAAGACCGTGCGTTCAATCAAGCTACGACCCAAGGGGTGGGTAGCACCCAAGGGGAGGGTGAAGATCCTACGGGAGTTTATGTTCCGGAAGACATTAAGAAATTGTATCGATTGCAGAGGAACAACCGGCAGGAGCTGCCTGTGAGTTACAACGAGTTTCGGGAGATGATGTTGCACGTGAAGAAGGTGGCTGAGGGTCACTCCACTAAGCGGTCGGGTCAAGGTGCGTTTTTGGTTAACAATAGCGCAATCTGTTCTCTCATGGACCCGCACCAAGGGACCATTCCGGTGGCCTTGAAAACCAGTTTATTTTTTTCCGTATGCGCCGGCGAACGCAAGTTGATCGAGGCCCACCATGCCCGTCCCTTCAAGCAGTCCGGACCAGGACATAACGTGTCTGCCACACTGTTCACCAAACACCGGCCCTCCGACCGCCGGTTTACAATTTTCAGCTTCACAGTCGCAGCACACTCCACACCTTCACTCGAACGGTTCGAATCCACCGGCACGCGGTTCTCCGATCCCAAGTATTGGAGCTTCGTCGACGACGTCACACCCACCAAGAACCGTATCGCCGCAACCCTGCATCAACTCTCAGGTATCCAACCCGGTGCAAGTGTGCTGCACGGTGCGGTTGAAGACGGCGTGGACGTTTTAGAACGCTTGTTCGGATCGGGTCGTCGGTTCCCCATTCCGCCCACCTTCCTCGATCCGGACGCCCGGAGCAGTCTGCGCGAACGGCTCGATTCAAAGGGGTTCGAAGTCGCGCCAGGCGTGCACCTCTACGTCGAGGACTGGCCCAGCAACCTTCGCACCGCCGGCAACGCGGAGTGCGACGACAACTCCATTCTCGGCCTCTGCTCCACTTGCGGTACTGCAGCGCCCTGCGAGACCCACTTGGTCGCCACCCATCCCGACAATGTCATCAAAGAGGCTGGTACTAAACGAGAAGCGCGGCGGCTAGGCCAGATAGCTCGACTCGACCACCTGCGGCACGTGACCCTCTGCGTCGGACCGTACGCCTTCCACTCCCTTACGGGTTGCGGCGAACACTTTCTCCGGTTCGTTTTCGATGACTGGCTAAAGTGTGTGCCATGGACCACAAACATCCCCAACTAAAGGTCCCCCC